TATCTATCTATCTATCTATCTATCTATCTATCTATCTATCTATCTATCTATTTATTTTTATTTCAGAGATAATATCTCACTATATAGCCTGGCTGGTCTCAAACTCACAGAGATCCTCCTGCCTCTGCTTCCCCAGTACTAAGATTAAAGGTATGTACCACCACACCTAGCTATTTAGTTATTTAGGAACAAGGTCCCAGTACATAGCCCAGGTAGGTCTTCAGCTCATGGTCTTCTTTGTAATGTAGAACAAGTTTCAGGTTCCAGGTTCCAGTCTGACTCTTCTGTAGCTTTTCACTTGAATGTGCCCTATTTTCAGTAGTAAAACTGCCCACCTTTCCAAGCAAAATGGGCTAAAAGGTAGCAAAGAGGAGTGGTGTATGTTTTCTAGGAATGATTGGCCTGCCTGACAGACTCCTTTTGTCTGATTTAGTGAAGGAGAGTGGGAGATAGAATCAAAGCTCTTTCTACAGTGAGATCTAATAGCTTATTTCTGTACCTTCCCTCGGGGCATTGTAGTTCACAGGCAATAATGTGTACATAAACACAAAGTGAGCTGCCTATGGGAGCTGCTGTATGCCTATAGCATACAGGCAGAATTTGACCGGCTCTCATGTATTCTAAAGGGATGTGGCTTGCAGAGGCTGCCTGTAAGTAACTTATAAGACATAAGATTTTCTATGTGTTGGAAAAGGCAATGTCATGTGGACTCCCCTTACACATTCTAAGATCTGGGCTTTTTACTATGCTGTTAATTTTCATTCACTGTAAGGCTCTGGAGAAAAATCAGCAGTGGCTTGTGTATGATCAGCAGCGAGAGGCCTACGTTAAAGGACTTTTAGCAAAGATCTTTGAGCTGGAAAGGAGAACAGAAACAACTGCTGCTACACTCTCACAGCAGATGAAAAAGACTGAATCAGAAGGTACTGAGCTATAAAAGTGTTCTTTTGGGATAAGCCTGATGTTTCCAACAGGAATGATTCATCAGATTTGGATGTTTTTTATAGATATGTGTTAGAAAGCAAAATAGCATCATGTCTTTTAAGCTTAAAGTAAGAAAAAGCATTTGTCGAGTTTGTTTCTTTTCCCCTTATTTTTGGATAAAAGAGGACAGAAGCCACAGGTGAGAGAGCCATCCATCATGGCAGTCATGGTGATTTTCTCTACATTCATATCTTTCCCCTTCTTCAGAGTTCTTCTTATTCCCCCCAAGAGCTGACCTGGGCACCAGATTCCTTTTAGGGAGTAGATGGGTAGGATGATGGATTGAGATAAAACCTTGCCACATAGTCCTGGCTAGCCTAGTACTTACCATGTAGCCCAGGCTATCTTCCGATTCAGAGCAGTCCTCCTGCCGAAGGTCCCTAAATTCTGGGATTATAGGTGTGTGCCACCATGCTTGATATCAGTTGTCATTTTTCTTGCCTTTGGCACTTATATCAACTCCAGGAGAAAGAATAGGCTTTATAGCTGATTCCTTAACCCTAACCCATGATGCTGTTTCTCTGCCAAGTAGTCTCCAGTTTCCCTTACATAGATTTCCCCTGAGTTAGATAATACCTCTTAGTCTCTGGGAAGGAAGGTGATATTTAGCAGATGAAGAAATAGGCTCTGCAGGTGGTGAGCTAAGAAGAAAAGATCCACCTATCCCCTACCTCCTGACTCTGCATTTTATAAGCTGAAGAAATGGTGAAGTTGCATTTGTAGGAATATGTTTGAAGTTTGATTTTGTGGGATATTACAAAATGCATTGTGCCATGATGTTTGTTTCAGGTCATCTCCAAGAGGAAAAGCAAAAATATGAGCATCTCTTAGAAAATACCAAAAAAGATCTTGAAGTTGAACGACAAACTGTAACTCAGTTGCGTTTAGAACTTAATGAATTTCAAAGAAAATATGAAGAAACTCAAAAAGAAGTTGAAGATTTAAATCAGCTATTGAGTTTGCAGCGAAAGGCAGACATACAACACCTGGAAGAAGACAAGCATAAGACAGAGAAAATCCAGCAGCTCAGACAGGAGAGCAGTCTCTTCGAGGGAAAACTGAAAGAGGAGAGGAAGCGGTCTGAAGAGCTTGTGTCTCAGGTGAGGCAGCCACTGCGGTCTCCGCTTCAGAGTTCAACAAGGGTTAGGGAGTCCCGACCACCAAGAAGCCAGCGAGGGGCAGAAGCTGTCCTTTCCGCCTTTGGGCATTTGTATTCCAGCATGGAAACAGACCACGAATTAATACCCAAATAAATAGATAAGGAGAATAAAACAAGAGGATGTGAAAAGAAAACACAGGGGTCCATGGAGGCCTCACAGAAGTGATGGTATTGGGATAGAGACTTGGAGGTGGGATCCTGCAAAGGAATTCTCTCGGAATTCTCTGTCAGTGGAAAAGATCACACATTCTAAGGCTTGAGTGAAGAGGTAGAATATGGAGGAAGCCAAAGGCAGCGAGGGGAATTCAGTTGACTCCTGGGCTGTACTCTCAAGTGTGCTGATGTGCCTATAGGAATTGCCATAGCACCCTCATCTTCTGTTTTAGATTTGAGGTGGCATGCCTTGGCAGTGTTAGAATTGAATACTACTGTGACAGAAAGTCATTAATTTAAATTCTGCTTGTCAGCACGGAGTAGTAGAAAAGAATGGTGGGATCCACACTTGGACTCTAGATGGTGTATGTAGCCTGCAGCAAATCACCTACCTTCCCTGACTTATAAAGCATTCGCTAATCCAACAAATAATAACCTCTACTTACCTCATAAGAGCATTGTGTGCAGAAATTGAGGAGGCATATGAAAGTGCTTTGTAAAGTAAGGAGATGCCAATGGAAGTTATTGCTACTACAGTTGTGATTTTAAACACCCTGCAGAAGCTGAGAGCTGAGTAAGAGTCAGTAATCCTGACATGTTCTTCTGTGGTCTTCACTCTCCTTACTTTGACCTGTAGGTGCGAGTAGTGACATTTGGGAAAAGTTAGACAGAAAGAAGTAAATTTTATCTAGCTCTATAGCATAGGAGATGAGGTACATCCTTCTTTGTTACCCTACTCTGACACTAGAGCCTCCTGGAACGAGATGTGGCCACACAGAAGCTGTCTTCATTGCTCAGTCTGGCTGTTCAGGGAACTCTCTTCATGGATTATACTGCCCATCCTGCTCATTGGAAAGCCTCAAACAACCAGCTGGGGTGGCTTATTGCATGCAGCAGGTGTTGCCCTGGCTAGAAGTGATACTTACGATGTAGGTTCCTTGTCTATTCCCAATCTAGAGAGGAGGGCAGATGAGATAATGCTGGCTCTCTTTACATCTTCCAGATCCGTCTTCTTTATGAGTCTGTGCTAAAGTACCAAGAGGAACAGACCAGGGTGGCTCTGCTAGAACAGCAGGTACTTACTGTGGATGCTCGAAAGTTCATCTAGTTGATAAAATCAGAACTTCCCCTGGTATTTATACTGCTTAAAACTGTAAAACAAACTGTGTTCAAAAGACACACATTCTCTTAGAGACTCTGCACCATTCACATACTCTGTAACTGTCCTTAGCCACCAACTCTTAAAGGTGTGGTGGCATTTTTCCTTACAGGTTGGCATTGGCAAATGTTGATTGTACTTTCTACCCTAGCCTAACAGGGTCTCTTTCCAGGCCAGCATGTGAGTTCAAGCAGAGCGGACACGGTTTATTCTCAGAATGTATAGTAGAAATTTTTAATATATTTCAAACCAGGGAATAGCCATCTTTTTTCCCTTTTTTCCACCTCCACCCAAAATTCCAAGAATGTGAAGGAATAACTCCAACCAGCAACTTCTTGGGCTACCCTCTGCTCATCCATAGGCCTTGGCTTTGCTAGTTCATAAACCAGTTCCATAGCCATAAACTTCATGTACTAATAATCTTGCTGTGCTCGGATAATAATGAGGCCCAGCAAGTATTCTTTTATGCTGACAAAGACTGTAAACATTCAGTGAAGAGAACAAGGTAGCTCTACCAATTCTGACTGTCTTGTCCTGGCATATTCCAGATGCAGGCATGTACTCTAGACTTTGAGAATGAAAAGCTTGACCGGCAGAATATGCAGCATCAACTGTGTGTGATTCTTAAGGAGCTCCGGAAAGCAAGAAGTCAAATAACACAGCTTGAATCCTTGGTAAATTTTGAGTGGCTAATATAAAGCTTATTCTTCATTCTTTTTTGCTACCTTCCCATTTGTGTATTAGCTCAGTTCCCAAACCAGTAATATAGCTTGAAGTGAACGTTATCTCAAAGCAGTAGTTGCCTCCTATGTGGCACCTAACCTTACAGCATCAATTCAGAGCTCAGAAGGGAGGCGTTAATGATCCCCTTGCTCGAAGCTGCTTGACTGGTGTCTGCGGTCATCCCCTACCCAGGTTGGCTGCTGCCATTCTACAGGTGTCCAACAGTACTTTGTATAGAGGGAAAAGGAAGAAAAGAGGGCATCATGGCATTCTTTTTTTATATTTCTAATGAATTTGTGTGCATCTGTCGGCCCAAATGTCCTGTTAATGCACATTCATATATTAGAGCTACAGAATATTTGGAAATGGGTAAATATAGTAAATATATCTCCTAGTTTCTAAGGAAGAGAAAAAAGCAATTGTTAAATAACTTATAACTTGTATATGAATAAAATAAATATCTTCATAATGTAGTATAAAATAGGAATTTTCAAGCTTTCCTGACTATTCTAAATTCCTAAAAACAAAACAAACCCATGAAAAGGCAAAAGCAATAAAGAGTCTGCTCATGTGTCTGTAACCTGTCTGAGCTACTAAAAGTTTTTGCTGGTCTCAGTTCCGTGTAGGGTTTTGTGGCTTCTCTTGTTTTTTGTGTTATGCTTTCACTACCCAGGGTGGTCTGGTCTCTCCATCTTCCCATTTCAACCGACCAGGACTGAGGTCTTTCTACTCTTTTTTTTTTTTTTTTTTTTTTTGTCTGTCTGTTTGTTTCAAGACAGGGTTTCTCTGTGTAGCCTTGGCTGTCCTTGACTCACTTTGTAGACCAGGCTGGCCTTGAACTCATAGCAATCTGCCTGACTCTGCCCCCTTGAGTTCTGGGATTACAGGTGTGTGTCACCATTCCTGGCTGTCTTTGTATTTCTTTATTCCTTAAGTTACTTCTGTTTTACAAAACTGGCAAATGTATACTTGTTCTTGAAAATGTTGTGATTATTTTGTACGTGAATTTAAAAAAGGTAAAAGGACTGTCTTCCCTTTACATTTGACTCTGCCTCTTAGCAAAGCCTATCTATTTCAGCACTAACTCAGTATTTCCCTGAGTTATTACAGCATATCATCCAAGTTATTCATGACTACCTCATATGTTACCATTAAAATATCTGAACAGAAATTCAGACCAAACTGTAGGGCTGAAGCATGCAGAGGGTGCAGGAAGGAGTTCAAACGGTGTGCATTTGACATTTGTTTTGCAGAAGCAGCTACATGGGTTTTCCTTTACAGAGCACCCGTTCCCACTCCAAGGAGAACCTGAAAACAGAGCGAAAGGTGCCTCACCCAAAAGTCCCAGTGCTGCTCTCAATGAAAGCCTGGTGGAATGTCCCAAGTGCAATGTACAGTACCCAGCCACCGAACATCGAGACCTGCTTGTCCATGTTGAATACTGCATGAAATAGCAGAGCCAGCCTTGCCTTTGTACTGAAGAACTCCACACTTGTACTGAAGAAGTCCACACTGTAACCTATATTTTTTTATGGGCACTTTGAATTACAGATCACTTCTCTTGCACAAGAACCCCACTATGTGCCCTTGTATTTTTCTGACCACTTTGCATTTTCCTGGGTAGTGATGCCTCCCCGAGCTGCGTCACCATCAGGTTGCAGTGATAGACTGTGGTGAGCAGTGGGTATCCAGACTACTAGCACTTCATGCTGTTGCAATAGCTAGCACTTCACTCTCCTCCTATACTTGATGAGCAAGAGCTACTTGGGTTATTGGTTATGGCTTAAAACTACTGACCAGCAAGCAAATATTTTATGCCTTGGGGTTTCTAAGAGAATCAAAAGATAATTAACCATGGGTCTTACTGTGCGGATTTTTTTTATGTAAATGCTTAGTATACTGACCCTTGCAATTTGATACCTCTTGCTGTTGTAGACCGGTTACTAGAAAAGTTGGGGAGTTTTGTAATTGATTATTATTGCTGTTAACTGTTCTAAGCACAAGGAGGCTTTGTTTGAAGAACGCCTTTAAGAAGCTGCACATTTTCACTCATTATCTGACCATAACTTTGACTTAAATTTCATTAGCACAGGTCGCTTTCCTAAAATGCCAAAATGAACAAAACTTAACAAAACATCTTGCCCCCTCATTAAATTTGCAGGTATTTTATATCTTGGTGATTTTGTTTGTCTGTTTTTATTTTTTGGCATTTTTAAAGATGGATGGCAGATATTTGTTTTATAAATAGATATTTTTATATAAACAAAAAGGTATTTTATTTTTTTCAGATTTTCTAACATGCTTAAACCTGGGCTACTATTAGCAATATGAAGGAGGAAGTAAAATAAAATTATTTAATAAGTTTACCACGTCTAGTGTGTATTTGTGTACATATATAGTCTTAAGATCTCTAGTCATGGAGCTGTGTTGGGATTCCAAATTGACACATTATCAGGTGACAGGGGAACTGAGAAGACACCACAGTCATTCTGTGAGTGGGGTTAAGGAGTGGAGATTTCTAGGTACCTCTGCTGATCAATAAATATTTTTGAGACCTTTGTTATAAAGGCAAAACAACAAGCCTATGAAAGGATATGTGATTTTGGATTTTGAATGTTAGGGCATAAAAATATATATGTTTGCTAATGTAAATAAAAATTTGCCTTTGGAGTTAATAATCCCAGACTCCTAATATCTTCAACCACAATTGAACAAAGGTACAAGGTACAGAAGTACTTTTCAGTTAGGTAGTTCTTATTCTGATGCAAGTGCTATAACAAAGACCACAGTATTTAATTCTATGTGTGCCATAAAAAAATTGCTTCATACACAACTTCTAAGTAAGCCAGGCATTGCCTGTAGTTTACAGATATGGAAAATGGCTTGCTCATTTAGTGGATGATGATCTGCCCACCCATCAATAGGGAATGTTGGGTTAAGGGGTCCCCTGGACATTATAGCCAGAAGGTAGGGTTAGCAGCCGCTCTAACCTGGCAGAGCCTGCACTGGAGAGTTGGATCTGGGCATTTCCCTCCATGCTTCAACCACCATGTGTGCACCAATATAATGTACCTTGGGAAGATGTCAAGAAAAGAAACAGTTCTCTGAAACCTTCCTCGAGTTCAGCAGCTTTTTTGCATATTTTCCTTTGTAGATGATTAGAACAGGAAGTCTTTTTTTTTTTTTTTTTTTCTTCTGGATCATGGTATAGAAGCAAGGATCTGTCAAGAGTTTAAGACCTGAAACCCCTTGGAGAGTTGACCAGTTCTGTTTATTTTTATGGCACGTGGTCACGTGGTTGCTGAACAGAAACTATTGGGTGTGTCATACTTCTTCCTAATTGCAGCTCTGAGAAGTACTTGCTGATACCAGCACCATTCAGAGATGGAGCAACCCAGGGTCATTACTGTTGTACAGGAAAGCATAGTGTCTCTAGGGAAGGAGCTAGCTTCGTGGTCCTGTTCTTGTGTCTAACAAACACACTGGGGCTGTCATTTTAGGATTCTCGCCTTGGCCGTTATCCCATGCATGTTGGCACACCTCTGTAATCCAAACACGCAGGAGGCTGATTTAGGAGACTCCTGAGTTCTTGGCCAGCTTGGGCTACATAGCAAGACTGTTTGAAATACCAAGACAAAAAGCTGGATGAAAAAACATTTTATGCATAATTAAATATATAAATTAAGAAAAAAGTTTTATTTTTTTTTTAAGAAAATGTTTTAAGTTGAGATTTTGGTTTGATTTTCTATGTATGTTTGCTGGCATGGATATCTGTGCACCACATGTGTTTAGTGCCCACAGACGCCAGAAGAGGGCATCAGATGCCCAGGGACTGGAATTTAGGGGTTGTGAGCTGCTATGTGGTTGGGAAATTGAACCTGGGTCCTCTGGAAGAGCAGCCAGTGCTCTTAACCATAGAGCCATCTCTCTCTCCATCTACCAAATCAATGAGTTGACACATGCATCCTTTTGTCTGGTTCCAGTCCAGAATCCCTTCTCAGAGGCAGTCTCGTGTCTGTCCGTGCGTTGGTTTTGTAAGGTCTTGAAATTCACATATATAGAGTTACATATTTGGATCTTGCTTCCTTTTGACTCATCGGTGCTTTCAGACTTTTCCATGTTTTTATGTTTTAAATTTTCATTTCTTTAAAAAAGTGTACACTAGCATCTAAGTAATGGGCTTCACCGTAGTATGTTCATGTATATGTGCCATGCTACTTTCTTAATAATGTATTTTCTTCCCCCAGATAGTCTTGCTGACCTGCTTTCATATACATACATTGCATTATCTCTCTTCCTTCTCCCTCTTAAGATATTGTTCTACTCTTTGATGACCTGCCCATGTGTACCTACCCACTCATTCTCACGCTCAGACGCACACACGCAAATACATGCAGTTCCGTGTACATATAATTTGTTTTCTAATAACTGAATAATATTCCATTTTATAAATGTGCTATAACTTAACTTAGTTTCCTGTACTTCTCACGGTAGGAATTTGCATTGTATCTTGCATAAGTGTTGTGGGGTATTTGTTTGTTTTGGTAGTGTGAGAATCAAACCCAGAGCCTTATGTGAACTGTGTATGTGCTTGTGCTGAACTACACCCCAAACCTCTTATGCAAACATTTGGGGGAGTCTGTCTTTTCATTTCCATTAGGGAAATTATTACAGTGGGTCGTAATAGGTGATACTTATCTTTACTGACAACTATTCAACAGTATTTTTCAGTGGCTAAAGGAATTCTTTGTGAATGAGCCTCCACAGGAAGAGCCGTGTACACAGTGCAGCGATTTCTGCAACAAATCTATCACTGATTTCTTTGGCTGTTGTTGTTTGAGACAGGATTTATCTGTGTAGCCTTGGCTGTCCTGGACTTGCTTTGTAGACCAGGCTGGCCTTGAACTCACAGAGATCCACTTGCCTCTGCCTCTACCTCTGCTGAGATTACAGGCGACCGCCACTGCGCGCAGCCACCACTGATTTCTTAATGTTTCTACATAGGTGAAAACCTGAGGCCCAGGACAACTCAGGGACAGGCTGTGTCCAGCCCTCTATTTTTCTGGCTTATCCCAGCCATATTTTGGAGTGAGAGTACCACAATAAATATCTGCTCCTGCTTCTTAGGGGCCTGGTGGGTAACGGGTGGTGCAGCTGCTGCAGTGGAGACAGAGTGAGTGCCCATCCTCACGGGGGATGCCGTTTGCCAAGAAAAATTAAGACAACGCAGCTGTAGTATTTACTTTTCTGTTGTTATAATAAAATACCATAACTAAGGCGACTTCTGAAAGGGAGAGTGTATTTTGGCTTACAATTCCAGAAGGTTAAGAGTCCATCATGGCAGGGAGCAGTAGTCGTGACAAGAAGCATGGTGGCAGGGACAGGGAGCTGACAGTTCACATCTTAACCCCAAGCACAAAGCAGAGTGAGCTACCTGGAAGTGGAGCAATACTGTGATCTCTCAAAGTTCACCTCAGTGACACACTTCCTTCAGCAATGCTACTCCTGGCCAACCTCCCCAAACAGTGCCACCAGCAAATACTGCCACCTAGGGAGGACATTTCCCAGTTAAACCACCATGATAGTTTAATTTTTAGATTTTTTTTTTTTTCTCGGAGAAACCTGGAATTTTAGAATATGAAACCTCCCAGTTACTTTTAAGTCCAAAGCTAATGAAATATTAAGAATGTGGACCACAACAAAAATGCAGCTTGTGACTTTCCTGTGGAACAGTTAGCTGCATGGGACAAAGGAAGGATGACTTGCCTGAGATGGGAAGGAAGCCAAGGAAAGTGCCTGCCTGTCATGTGAGCACTGAGGTTTTTCAGTGTCCACTTCAGTCCAACAGGTGCTGTTTGAGCAACACGGCAAATACAGCCCTCCCTCACCCTTCCCTGCCACCTGCCATCTGGCAGCTTTTAATGGCTACATTTCTGGACAGAGCTGGCTAGCAGCCAGCACTTCCTGATTACTTTCTGTAACCTCAGGCCCACAGTGAAGGTCGGCAGTAGGAGGAACTGGCTTCAAGACCTGCTTTGGGTCCAGAAAATGTACTTGTAGCCTTTTGGAAATGCTGGTTCCCATGCCTCCATTTGACTATTTGGGAGAATGCTCTCTAGAGCACTGGGCATTATTGAAGATTGAAAACTAATCCAACTTAGTGACACAACAGATCCCAGCAATGGAGTCACTTACCCGAGGTCACATAGCTAATGGAAATGGGAAGAGCCAAGGCTCTCCAAGGCGATAGATGTCCTGCTATCTGTCTGTGTGTGTTATGATTCCAGAAAAATTATTCTTTTAGAGATTTCAGGTGTTTTGTGTTCCTAAGTCAAATCTGCTCATATATGGGCCTCACTCACATTTTTCCTTTGTACACTAGTGATTTTTTTTGGCTTTGGATGGTTGAATGGGGGATACCAGGCTGGTATTCAAATGAACTCTCCTGTCTGCTTCTAGTGGTAATGCTCAAATGCTCAAACACGGCTGAAGGGTCAAGGACCAAGGGCAAAATTTATGTAGAGAGAGCTGAGAGGACAAAGCCTGGGGTTGTCTCGTGGTCCTGAAAAAGTGGAGTCCTCAAAGAACCAAACTCTTATAGTGTCACCCAAACCAAACAGCCAGAGAAGGACTAGCATATGCCAGAAGGAACAGGTTGGCCTCTGACAGAGGCCTTCACTCTCACCCCCCAGGCACAATCAGCAGACAAGTAAGCTCCCTGCCATAGAAAGGCAGGCATATGCATGAATGGACCGATCCTCAGTGTCACTATTGGGAGGTGAAGAACCTTTGAAAGGCTAAGTTTCTTCAGAGAGCTTCAGATCCTGTGGTATTTCCTTGAAGGGGATATGGGCCTCTGGTCTTGACTCACCCTTACCCCAGCCCTTTTCACTTGGTTGGGAGGAGGGTGGCTTTGCTCAGCCACATGCTGCCAGCTATGATGTTGCTGCCTTGCCACAGGCCCCAAAGCAACAGGGCTCAACAATCATGACTGAAACACCCAGAATAAAACTGTCTTTATCAGTTGAGTTTAGCTATTTTTTTCTAGTGACTGAAAGCTGACATATTTCCTGCCCAGAGAAGACCAAGCCCAGACCTCATCACCTAACCAACAAATGTGTAACCATCTACAGCAGATAAGGGGCCATACAGCTCTGTAGAGGAGGCCAGAGGGCCCCAACTGACGTGTCCCCAAGACTGAGACAATAGACTTTCCAAACAAGGCAATGGCCGATTTATTAGTTAAGGACTCACACTGTTTAAGTAAGAAGCACGTTTGTTGTCACAAGAGAA